GGCAATATTTCAACGTTACTAATGGACATTTTTCATCTTACCATTGAAACAACAAAGCAATATATTTAGGTATACAATTATATTTTTTAGATTGTTACGGATTTACCGTCGGATCTTTATAACTCAGTGTTGCAATTTATGGTCGAAACAGCTAAATTGATTTATCACGGCGTTTGTAAACATTAAAAGATTGATGAAAGCTATTCATGCATTTAGATATATCACATTAAAGATACGTATTGTTTCAACATTTATAACAAATTTAGAAAAGAGCAAATTGACCTATTATTCGTTATTTTGAAATAATACACCTGAACATTCATTTCCTGGTGGCAAATATGCAGACATTTTATGCAGGGTTATAAAATTTGAATGTTAATGCCCATGCTACTGTACGGATATTAATGTGTTTCCGTGAAATGATAGTTCCTTTAGTACAGAGTTGTATGTTTCTTTAAGATGTCATGAGAAAAATGCTAACCTTTTGAAATATGCTGAAGTCATGTGGTAATGCAAAATTAAAATGCTAAATTTTTCCCCAGTATATTTTGATATGATATCAAAGATTATGACTATATAAATCGTTAAAAATGTGTAAAGGCAATTAAATGCTTGGTGTTAGATAATATATGAGTCCTTAAAGGACACATTTAGATCTAAATAAAATGCTTCTGATATGAAAATAGAATGCAAAGAAAGAACCTGCAGGGATATTGTAAGAATAAAATATAAGAATAATGTTACCTTTGAAAAATCTTTAGTTTTCATGAATTTATCATACTCCTGATACAATGGTCCGTCAAAGAACAAAGTCCATGGCGGATTCTCCGGTAAAGTTTCAATGTCATCTGGAGTTTTCTTCGACATAGTGTTCATAAATATTATTCCACGGTAATAATCACTGTCTGTGTGGATATAAACTTTTTAGGAAACTAAATCTTTATTCGTTATTAGTGTTTGCCACGATATATACATACCATTTTATACAAATTTGAAGAAATTAGAAGCATTCTAATCACGTTTTGAAAAATATCATATCTTTTGCAAATAAATAAATTACACACGATATTTTTCAATGATTGATTGTCTCATAACTGCATTTTTATCTCTGTTCCTTTAGAAAATTGAAGTTTCTTTCACGGATATCCTTTTTTCAATGAAATAAATTATTATTCAATAAACATGCCTTCTGAACATAAACACGTCGTTTAGAAATACTAACAATTTTAAACAATAGATTATTTATTTTCTCTTTACGATACGTTTACGTTATTTAATTACCATCATCAACAATTTCATTTAGTACTTAATTATATACAAACTCTGTCAACAGATGTCACGTAAATGACGAGACTTTGACGAGATTTCGTCTCGCGCGGATAGCGTTCTTTTTTTCTTTTTGCATCAGTACCAATCAAGAATTTGCAAACCACCTAAAATAAATCATATTAAATCATATAAAGACAGCCTTGGGTAGTAATTTATAAGGAATTTATTTCTTTAAAGAATGAAATAATTCAAAAATTAAAAAAATTACAAATAATAATGATAATAATCATGTAAGATGAATAAAACACTTACGAATAATTTGACAACTGAAAATTTGAAATAAACAAGAAAACAATAGCTAGCTTTAGAACTTTTCAAAACTTTTATGATACTTTTATAGCAAATTTATAGAGATTTATGACTTGTTTGTGTCAGTAACAAAATGTCTCGGTTAAAGTCTTGCAACAACATCTTTATTACAAGTTATGGCATTGATAGGTGCATTCAGTACAAGTAAACACCAATTTGCAATTTGAATAATGTTTAATTTTGACCCTTAACAAAATTTATTGTAAGAATAAATCGTAGACACTTTTAGAATACTGTGGATTCCGTACTGAATTAAGTTATAAAGACAAGGAGCATGTAGCAGTGAGCCACTGGAAATACGCATGAAACCAACTAATCAGTTTAAATTCACTACTTTAAACATACAATACATGTATGACACAATAATAAGGGGTTTAAACTCATGAAAACCAGTTTGTTACCACCATAAATATTAAATCTTTGAACTTATCTAACGATATTAAACATTCTTTTTCATAAAAATAGGAGAAATTGTTCGTTTGAGTGAAATATTGAATATATTTTCACGAAACATGATAACATTTTATGTGTTACATGTATAATGAGCCGGAACGGCGAGTTACACATATCGAAATTTATCGTGTTAAGTGAAAATATATTCCATACTTCACGAAAAGCGAAATCATTTGTTTGAGTGAAATATGGAATATATTTCCACGAAACATGATACAAATTTATACGTTTTCAAAAGCCGTAACGGCGAATAAAATATATAGAAATTTATCGTGTTAAGTTAAAAAATATTCCATATTTCACGAAAAACGAAAAACATAACCTATTTTAAATGCAATAAAATAAAGTTGTTTACGAATACATCTATTTGCTTCATGGTTGCAATTGACAGCCTGCAGTAAAATTTTGATTATATATATGTTCATGCCTGTTTTAATACACAATTCTTGAGAAAACATAAACTGGATAATATCTGATAAAGTGAATAGCTGAAGCGACTGGCAGCCACTGAAAAACATTTTAAATAATAATAATAATGACCCCCCACCCCCCCCCCAAAAAAAAAAAACACCATAAATATATATATATAAAAAAAAACACCACCCAATTTCATATTAATATTTGAGTGTTATGGTACCATATTTTATAGGTAAAATTAAATAAAACTAGCATACTTCTTGTATCTGTAAAAATATAACAGCGAGCGCAGGAATATAGTTCATGTCTATAACATACCTATGCAATTACGTTTTACGGAGCCGAAAGGCCGTCCGGGTATGCAACAATATAAAATTATATTATGGTTATATAGTACATAATTATTTTATATGACGCCGTTGCTTTGCTTTAATAGCGTTCCTGGGTGAATGGCATGATATCATCCTATTATTCGACAATGGAAATCAGTTGCTGATTTTTTGACCATTTAGATTAAACAAGAGTCAGAAAGCCATGCCGGAATTTAATGTAAAAATTGGGGTCCTATAGTTAAATAAAGTTATTATTTATCATTACTGATTGGAAGTACACCAATAATAGATATGACAACGCTTGTGGACAGTGGCACAATAAGCTCAGATCTTATTGTAAATTAAAAAAAAATTCGGCGTTGAGAATTATTGTAAACTTATCCTCCCACTTTTTCATGAAGCAGCGTTGAGTAAGTTTCGGTGTGGGGTTTCTCCGATAAGCGTATGGAAATTTTCTGGTTCATGACCGAAAATGCCATTTTTGTGATTTTGTAGAAGATGAATAATTATCCTGTTCTAATAAATTGTAATGTTAATGGGGACCTACGTGATAGTCTTACACATGAGGTAGGCTGTCATAAAACTTTATAAACAAATGATTAACAGAAATTTATTTATCAGTGCAATTTCGTTTCAGTGTCTTCAATTTTTTATGTTCGTTTTACGAAATGGTTACTTGCTGTTCCTTAGTTTTACTATGTAGAAATTGCCTATAAGATATGTTTTATTATATACATGTATGCTCTGTAAAGCTCTGTAAAGTTGTGTATACATATTGTACGTGTACGAATATATGGACGAGACTTTAATAAACTAATAAACCTTTTATTTACGTTCATTTGACTTTAACCAACATTATTTTTGTCTATGCCCGCTGAAAATGAATCATTTTATAATGAACATCAGGGTCCCCACTCCGTACGAAGAAACTACATAAAGTATTTAAAGCGACTACGATTGTTTCTCCTGAATAGCCTAGTCTGTGACCAATTCTACTCCCAGGTTTTTCTCTTGCTTTGTTTTAGTTTAAACAATGTTTATTTCCAAAATTTTCAAACATAGATATACATTACAACCAGAAGACATTGTTTAACTAAAATCATGTAAGACTGGAGATATTAATATAGAGGTAAACAATGCTAATAAGATATTGGGTATAACATACCTATGCAATTACGTTTTATGGAGCCGAAAAGCGGTCCGGGTATGAAATAATATAAATTGTTATGAAATACATATTTTATACGACGCCGTTTTTTTTTATAACTTAATAACCTTATTAAATTCAAAAAAGGTTTGAAAACAAGTCTAAGACTTATATAAATTCATTACCTCAGTGGATTGGAAAGGATGTTCAGGCTGACTCGTCAAAATAAAGTGTAATGTTTTGAGAAATGAATTTACAAATAAAGTGATAAAAGAGTCCCAGTGTGGAAGTGAGTTATTTGCTACCGATAAGACAGTTAGTTTAATATAATGTATAAATCATGCTTATCGTTCTGTAACATGCGCAAGTACTATGATGTGAAACATTTAGTAGCGACAATGTATTTTTGGACGCACCTAAAGATCTTTCTGTTTTGTTCAAAGTTGTGATGTTCAAAGCTATTTTGTTTTCACTCATCAGCTTCCCACTTCATTTTACTAGGATATCTGGTAGACGTGAGCTGTATCCTGAGTTGTAGAATAACTCCTGTAATTTCGTAAAATGATGAGACCCAAGTCACACACTTTCAGTAATTAAATGACTTCAAAGTGGTAATATATCTAACAATTATTTATGATTGAACTCATGTCATTTTCATGTTTATATTTTCAATTGAAACGGTTAGGATTTCAGGTATAGCCATAAAAAAATCCTCGATATGATTTGCCTAATTGATAAATCAGACTTTTGTGCAATTGCACAAAAACATCATTTTTCTTTAAATAAAGAAAAACCCGAACATGATAGCTTTAATCAATATATTTGCAAAACACTGGTTCTTAACATTATGGCACTAAATGAGAAAAATATCAATTACAAAGTGATTATGACAACAATGAGATAAAACGGCAAACAAACGGTGACATGATAAAACACAATCATGAAAAAGTGTGATTGAAAACAATGCTTTAATTTAAAAAACAACAACAAAAAAAAACATGAATGAGTACGCATAATGAGATAAATCGATTTATTTGTGAAAACAGTGGCGCAAAACCAATACTATAAAGGTAATTACAAGAAACATAAATTGCAAAGTTTTTTAACGTTAAAATAAATACAACATTTTGACATGGAGCTAAATGTACATATATTGTATAATTATATATCTGTGTAATTATGTGATATTGAGGAATTAAAGAAACATTGTGTAAAATAACTAAAACACATTAACATTTATACCATCAAATCAATTATGTACATTATTTTAAATAGGCTTATTAATATTGTTTACTGTGACACATATTTTATAAAGTTATACAGTATCATTTTACTGTCTGTCATATAAAGGAGATTCTGATATCAATGGTATAAGAATCAAACATGAAATCTGTATCTACACAAATCTACATTCATGTGACCAGAATCGAAATTTAATACACAAAGTCCATGGAAAAAAATCATACATTATAATTTAAAAACAAATATTCAAATTAAAAGAGAAGAAATATCTATCCAGGCTTTACACTATCAACAACAAAAAATAGGCGAAAATAAATAAAACTATGTACATTATGTAAGTTTATGTGTAAAGCGTCATCACGTCTGTACACTTACTCATACAAAAAAGATACAATTAGCAATCGTAGACAACTTTTGACAATCATGTATTCATACACAGCTGTAAGACAGAATGCAGATACAAACATTTTTGCTCAAATCATTGCTTAAGAAAGTTATAATTAGGATGTAGTAGTTTTAGTGAAGTCAATCAAGAAAGACCATCGCTGGCTTTTATCATAATCCGCTGTAAGGCATTTTAGAGAAAAATCAGTTTCAAGATATATGTAGATGTATTCCGGAAGTTTGTGCAATAACACACCACATCACGTACACATCTATAGGGTATTTTTGGCATATATCTGTATTCTGGATAACCTGCCCTTTGTATACACATATGTACATATGTAATAGTTTTCATGTATTTACTATTGATAGGTTAAATAGACCTCGCTTTTGATACGCGTTTTAGCGATTTCGCACAAAAATGAAATTCTTTGAATGTACATGTATCAATACCTTATAAAGTTGTTGTTTATTACGTCACGATGCCATATAATAACACCATAGATTCAATAGATAAAACTATTTCAAAATGTTACTTAACCGATTTCAACCATTACATTCATTCTGGTAAAATTCAGGATTTCTTTTTGATCAACAAGAGTCGTTCTGTTTTGTATTTTTCAGCCAGCTTTACGCCCACAGTGCGACTGCGCATACGACATGACACAGTTTCCGGGAATATTTGGCGCGAAATAACCTTTGGTACACTTCTTTGCGGTCTTTGTTGGTCCCATGCAAATGTAATACTTCTTGCAGTCAGTTTCGTGGGCGACATAGGAGTACAAAGGTTGTCCAAGGCAAGGATCGCTGCCTACACCTGAAAAAATGAATTTATTTTTGTAATACAATAATTTGAAACAGACAGGCCTTATTGTTAGTTTGAAAAAGTTTACTAAAAAGTATAGTAGATAAAAGAAGAACTTTTATCCCGATGAAGAGGATATAAAAATTCTGCACACATACTGAACGTATTTATCTAACTACCAAATAAGCCATCAACACAATGGATAAAAGACCACAATGACAAATTTATATATCCAAATATCAAACACACGTTGACAAACAAATGAATTTCAATACAAATCATAAAACCGTATAAGATAAAAACAAGTACTGACATTAAACACATATGTCACATTAGAAACGCACGCGCGCTGTCGTGTAATTGACATATATGTGTCAATGGTACAACACAATATACAACAAACTGTAATCATTGCTATTTTTGACATGTGAAAATAACTGGGTGAAGCACTAACTATGAATCGTTTGTGTACTACATACAATGAAATTTGAGTAGTCTCCCTTCCTATGAAATAACCATTAACTTTTTGACAATGTCGGTGATTAATTTGTAGAATATCTAACATATGATTAACCAAATCTTTTTACACTTTTTTGTTCGGTCAATATCAGTTGTACACAGTAAAACACAAATGCTAAGTTAAGACATATTATCTTGAAAAAAAATCAGAATATCTTGAAAACGAAATTTATTTATTGCTTAAACATATATTATATAAAAGCCGACCAACAACAATAAAACTAACAAATAGAAAACTGATACGTAAGTATAAAAAATCATTAAACAAACAAGCATAGAATGTAAATAAAAACAGTAACAAATAAAAGAGATTATTTTTACATAAGGACATGATAAATTGTACTTACTACCAGCCTTGCATCGGACACAGTTCTCCTCTTTTTGGTCATAGCACGTGTTTCCAGGACACTGCATTATGTTGAGTTCCTTTCCGCAGACGATATATTTATGTGGTGTATATGGATGACTTATTGTACCTTGATAACGTACTTTGTTACAAATGTCGTCTGCAAATTAACAAAATTTTCATCAAATAGTTGATCAAATAAAATTATTTAAGACAACCATGTAAATGAACTTTAAGTTGTAAAATATCATAATTTAACCTTAAAAGTTACTAAAATTGATGTTTTGATCTATAGAGTAAAGCACAATTAACACCACATAGCTTTGCGTCAAATAACTAAATAGTAACACACTTAATAACAAAACTTACATGGGAGCAGACGAATGATTCCTTCTGCATAGAAGTCCGTGTTTTCTATATAACAGCGGACTTTGGTGTTGTTCCATTGCAAATCAAACTGGTATTCTACTGTGTTAGTTTCTGTGCGCACGCAGCTTGTATCTGTAACCTTAGGCCTTGAACTGTTTAAACAAGTCAAATATATAAAATGGGATATGTTCTTATAATCGATAATTAGAAACTAAACGGATTATGAAAGTAAAGTAATTAAAATTAAACCACTGAGTTACAATGGATTTGTTATTTGTTAGATACATAGGGGTAGTATAGGCCTTTACTACCGAAATTAGTAGTTTGCATTATTTGGATACGGTCGGATGAACTCTCGTATTCTGTGTTTCTAGAAGAGGGACAGATTATATAATAAATTGATAACAGCGAGCACGACTAAGACACACTATTATCCACCAAACTCTGGGACGGATTTGGCTGAATTCATGAAGGTAACTAATGAATTAAATTTCTATATTCATGTATTTTTTCCTCAATATCTTGGAAATACCTATTCAAATTACCTATAAAATTCAAATGGCCTGAATTCGACTTCTTTTTCTCGCTTAATTTTCCAAATGATTCGACCATTAGGATAACCGGGATGCCCCATGCATGAGAAGTTGGCGACTTTGTCCTCGAATACTTCTGTTGGAAATTCTGGTTTCAGGTCGTCCTCGGGAGGTGCTAACGATTATCATATAAAACAAGTTCATTTACCTTGCAAAGTTTATCTATGATATGTATTAGAGAAATATCAAATAATGTTAAAGAAAGAGACTGTTAAGAAATACAGCAATCAACTGTAATGAAATACAGCATTTATTGCATAAATCCTGGTTTTGATTGAATAGGTTACCATGTTTAGATAAATGCATTTGCATCAATTAACTGACGTTTGACAATAATGAAAAAAGAAATCATCTTGTGTCATTCTCATTTCTATGTATCTGGCATGAAAATAGATTTAGAAAGATTTAGTATATCTTACATATCACGCCAATTGACGACTCAAGCGGCCACATGTTATACGAGTCTATTGAACAATAGTACGTCCCTTCGTCCTCACACTGTAGGGTTTGAATTCCCACCGTCATTTTACCACCTGTTGCAGTCTTTGTACGCTTGACTTTTATTCTGCGATCTCTCACTGCTTTCCTTGCACCTTTTAAAACAAATCAACACGTAAATGTATAATGCTCAAGTCACTGAAGTGTTCTAATCCTACTTTATCATCACGAGCCAACCATTACGAAAAAATCGCTGATAAAGTTTTACTCAGCTAGTAAACAATAAGGACTGAAACTAGATGTATTACGTGATTTTTTTTTATTTGAACTTAGTCAAAGGAAAAACAAATGCATAATAATTATTGGAGTTATTTATCAAATATCCGGAGTTTTGTTTGAGTTACGTCACACATCTTTGTTTCATTATTTATTTCAACAATAAACTTATTGATATTACAATATTCATAAGTTAATGAATTAAAACAAGGACAACATACATTGTTTCTGTTATTTCTAATATCAAGCGCCTCTTCCTTACCTACTCCTAGCTTCCATGCGGCTATTGCCTCTTCTCTACCGTCCTTATTGACTCTTGTTATTTTCATCATGTCCCACTGTGTAAGATCTTCAACAGCGCATGTGGCAAATCCAGGATCCTTCCCTATTATCCCAGTCGCTGTACTTTGGAATGTCAGCCCTAGGATATAAAAATAGAAATTGTGAATATAAACACCGTGATCATTAAAAATACTTGGCATATAATAGTGAAAATACTTAGTATACACCATGAAACCGGCAATTCTTCCCATGCGCAATGTTTCTTTGTAAAAATGGAGACTTAATTTTGTTATACAAATGTCCCATTCCATGTTTGAAATACCCGGTGTTATTGTATAGGTATTGTATAAATGCAAGCAAAATACAAGAACCACATATTGCAATAAATTATATGATTAGAATACAGTAAAGGCCCTTCGACTTCATAAAATGCTATAATAGGCCGTAAAGCTGAACCATCTTTTGCTCCTTCTTTTCTTTGACAATTAATGCAGTTATAATGGTTTAGTATTTTGTATGGAAGTCAAAATACTACTTTGTTTTCATTTTGCTACCTATTAAAATCATATCACATTAGCCGCTACATTTTACAGAGCGATAAACATTCAGCATGCTTTAATCCATTATTTAAACATTATTAAGCTCATATTTGTCCCATCTGAAGAAGAAGAAAAGTATTCTTTTCTTAAGGTAACAATGGAGTAAGTGCGCACATTATACTTACAGTCTGGTGGTCCAGACGGTGTAGTGGTAGCAGGCGTCGTCGTAAGAATAGAGTCTCGTTCAAGTAACTGTCCAATAACGCCAGAAGCTTCGGCATTCAAATCAGCAAGCTTAATCTTGATTGTGTGTGATGCTGCACTGATCTCATCCAAAGTTTTATTGTAATTATCAAAGCGTGCTTTCACATCTGCAAGCGATTCAGTGCTCGAATACATTGTTCCATTTGACCAAAGTTTGTCTTTTAGATCAACTAGCTTATCCCCTGCTTCCTTGTTCCTTCTCAGGGCGTTAGCGACAGTGGAATTAAGACTTTGGATAGCTAAATCCCACTTCTTAATAGAGTTGTCTGTGTCATCTACACCAAATTGTCGCATCTTCTCTTTGATTTTCTCGATTATTGATACGAGTTGTGATATCTGGTCTTCCATGCCTTGTACATTTGGAATGTTATGTGCGTAAGTTACATTGACATTTGCATATTTCTCCTTTAAAGATGGTAAGTTTCGTTTTACATAGTCATGTTTTAGTAGCTCATTATGAAGAGTTGTATTCATAGCGTCTACCTGATTTTTCGTTTTATTCATGGTAGCAGACAATAATGTTATTTTTTGACTGTTTGCCCTAAGAGGCTGGTCCAGTTTAGATAGTTCTTGCTTAGTTATGTTCAATCTAGTATGCATTTCTGAAATAGTTGAATCAACATCTTTTCTTGTCAGATATTTAGAACTAATTTCCGAGATGATGTTATCAAAATTACTAGCAGTTGATTTAAGCTTTAAACGCTGGCGGTTTACACTTTCATTTACTTCATTTAACTTGTTCAAACCGGTTGATGCTTCTTTATAATACTTTGGTTGCATTTTATTCCATTCTGTATGATTTAATGGAGCATACATTGTTTTCATATCAGTCAACTGTTGCTTTATATCAGAACCGATATTTCTTACAAGATTTGTATCATTTTCGAATCTACCTATAATCGTGTCCAAGTCGTTAACATTTTGTTTAGTTCTCATAGCCTCAGTTTGCAACTGTTTAAAGTTATCCATTGATGTATGCAATCCACTCATGATGTTCTCTGTTTCCCTTATTTCATTTTCTGTGTCAGATAATATTGTGTTTACGTTTTCAAGTTTATCTTCAACATCATTCAATGAAGAATTGATACTGTTGAATTTCAGTTTCATCTCATCTATACTAATGTTCCGATCATCCATCGTGTTTAAAAAGTTTTTCAATTCCTTATACTTGTCGCTTAGTTGATGAAACAATTTCGATATATTTTTTACAGTGTTGTTCATTATATTCCAGCGTTGCAATTCCGGATCAGTTGTAAAATTTAGTGTTTTAAATTTGTCAAGTCTGGAGCCAGTGGTTATAATTTCGTATTTTAGATCAGCTAATTTTACGTCTGTGAAAGACAGGTGATTATTTGTCATTTCAAGTGGGCCAAATAAATCCCTGAATTTCTTTTCTATCAATGGCTTTTTTGTAGCAATAAAGTCAATCTTTTCTTGCTCTTTCACTAATGAGTTATTCAAATTCGTAATCATATCAAGGACATTTTTGAGGTTTGGTGACAAGTTGTCTACCGATTTATTTATATCTGCATGGATTTGTCCAATTCCACTTAAACTGACATTAACATTGCTGGAGTTGTTCTTTACATCCTTTAAGTGTTGTTTTAATTCTGAAAGTAGATTTTTTGTTGTCAAGTGTGTCCGGTTCATTTTCTGTATCACTGATTTGGTTTTGTCGTTATCAGCGTTAAGATTCAAGATTTCCTTTCCAAGTTTATGTATATTATCACTAGATGAATTCAACAAATTCATGATAACATTTTGTGCTTGACTGAGGACAGGATCTTTTATATGACTGTAGTTCTGAAGCAGATTATCAAAAGTGTCATATAAAGCCTGCACTTCGTCTGATATTTTTCTAATTGAATGATTTGTTTGTCCAATATTTGCAGATAAATTTTCACCAGATAAAGCATAATTTTGTAAGATATCGCCTGACTCTATATATTCATCAACAGTTGAATTAATATCATTAACTGATTCGTTAATAAATGAAGCTGTTTTGTTTATGTCGTCCAGGGCGTTATTAATTTTTTTGATGTCTTTCTCAATATCATTCATTTTATTGTCGAATCCAAAATACTGGTCTTTCAGCTTTTCATATTTTGTGTTAACATTACTGAGATTATCTATGTTGAGATCATCAAATACTTTCGAAACATTTTTAAAACTATTCAAAACTTCATCAACCTCTTTTTTAATTCTAATCGCTTCATTATTTTCCGAATTTAGTGGTATAGTAATGGCTGTTATGTTGTTCAATCTTTCTTTAACACTAGATAAACGTTCTGCAACTGTCTCAGTTCGCAGGTTGGTCTCACTGATACTATTGTTAGAGTTGTCTAGAATTTTATTCAAATTTTCATATCTTTTTTGCATGTGTGGAAAGTTTGTAGCGATGAATTCTTGTTTTTTCTTTTCTTCTGCTAATGTGTCATTAAGTCTTAAAATTTCATTTGTTATCAGATCAATTGTATTCTGTATGTCATCAGCATCAAGTGCTATATTTCTTTGCGAATCGTGTAAAATATCAGTTTTATTTTTTACATAATTTAGAGAATTCCCAGATTGATTATTAATACTGTCCAGCATTTCTTGATTATAAACGTCGCTATTTAGATGTTCCTTTGTTTCTTTTAGTGTTCTAATAACTCCGGTAGCATCATTTGATATGTTTCTATGTGATTCCTGAACATGTTTTAAAGCTGTCGTTGAGGCGTTTAATCTTTTAATCAAATCTGTGATGTTTCCAAGTAGGACGTTATCGTTTAATGATGAATAGACATTTTCCATATCTTGCAAAATACTTTTTAATTCGTTTACGTTAGAGCGTGTTTGATTGATTATTGAACCTGTGGTTTCCAAATCGCCTTCTAAATTAGAAATATTTTTGGTTAGTGATATTGCAGAGTTATTATGCCCATCCAGCTTGTCTAAAGCGGAATTTAATTGTTTTGTCTGATCTGAAATACTGTTTGTATCATTGTTTACATTTTCCAAATCGGTTAACATTTCGGTAAGATTCATTTGCAAATTATCCAAACTTTCATTGATCGACTTATATTTGTCTTTGATATTCATAACATCTCCAGTGTGATTATCAAGGTTTTTAATATTCTTCTGTAATAGTTCGTACTGATTATCAATATCTTTCAAATTTCTGTTGACTTCAGACACATTGGATTCAAGTTTCTTTAATTTGTTTGCATTTTCTAAAACTGAAATATGGATATTTGAAAAACCTTTTAATTTATCTTTTACTCCTTGAACTAAATTACTTGTGTTGGATAAATTGTCTTTTACTGCGGATAATGTTTTATTTGTTTTTTCCAAAGGAGATTTTATAGCATGAAATTTATCCGCTAAATGTCCTAAATTATTCTTTATGAAATCAAATTTGACCTTTTCTTTGTAAAGCGTTTCATTTATGAAGTCCAAAAGTACAGAAAGTTCCGACAAGGTTGAATTGTTACCATTTGCATTTTGTTTAGCGCCATTTATATCTTTTTCAAGTTTTGTCAATGATTTACTTAATTTCAAATATTTACTTTTAACATCACCGAGAGTGTTATTTAGACCAACGTAGGAATCTATGTTTCCGAACAATGTTTCATTCATATCAACAAAGCCATTTGTAACTTTATCATATATATCGCCCAGCTTCGTCACAGAGCTACGTAAATCATCAAGTGATTTGTTGGTTGTTTCTAACAATTTATTTACGAGAGTGTTATTTTCAATTGTAGATTGTAAGACGTCTGCATACAAAACATTCATTTTGTCAAACCTTTCACTAAAGTTATTAACCACGTCCTGCATACTGTCGATGCTTTTATTTGTAGATGAAAGATCTTTTGCAACATTTTCTATATCTTTCTCCATGATTTTTGTATCCATTTGTTTTGTCTCAAACCTGTCTAATGCATTGTCTATTCCTGCCATTGTCTCGTTTAGAAATTCAAAATGTTCATCCATTTCATATGCTTCATTATCAATTTTTGCCAATACTACATTGATCAAATCTAAGCTATCATTAAAGGTTTTATATTGATCCTCGACATCAGACAAAGATATGTTTCTACCGAATATGTTGTTTACACTTATGTCGTTCCTGAAATTGTTGACTATTCCTTTAACATTATCATAATGCTCCTTCATAATCAGCAGCCTATTTTCGAGGTGTGTAATATTTGCGTCAATATCTGACAATGAAATGTTGATGGTAGAAAAGTCATTCATTCGGAATTTTAACGTTTCTATATATTCATTTAGCATATCTATCTCATCAGCCATTCTTTGTAGAGTTTTGTTTGTCATTTCAAAAGTTCTATTTGTTTCTTCATACTTTTCTTTTAATTTAGGCAATGCCCTGTCAGCAAAGTTAGATTTCAAGTTTTCATTTACCAACGAAACGTTCATATCCCGAAGCATATCACCAATATCACGTAGTACAATTGCTATTTCTGGTATGCTGTTGGTTATATTATCCAGAGATCTGTCTACTTCTCTTACCTTTGTAAAAGTAGGTGGAAGTGTTTTCTCCACATTTTCAATTGAATTATTTAGTACTGAAATCTCATCAGTGGCATTGTACAAAATGGCTGTAATTTCTAAGAATTCATATTTCGAATCAGAAAGTTTTATATCTGACTTGGAAAGCGTTTTGTTTAGTTTAGCTATTGTTTTTTCAGTCATGTTCACTAACACTTCTATATCCCTGCTGTCATATGAGTATTCTGAATACCGTTGCTTCAGCACTTTGAGAGAATTTTTGTGAAACTTTATTTCATCAAAGGCTGTTTTCAATTTATACTCGGTATCATTCAATTTATCATTTGTTTCATGTAACGTCCGATTTAAAGATTTAACGTCCCTTTCTAAATCTTTAAACTTAAACAGAGCATTACTGAGTACTTCCGCATCATTTTTTGTAGAAGAAATAGCTCTTTTCAAATCTTTATACATGCTTTCTAGATCGTTACTTTCGTTAGTAAGGCGTATCAAAGAGTTATTAAGGTTTGTCAATTTTTTTTGTACATAACTCAGTGTTATTGACTTATTATTTGCTAATGCTATAGCATCAATATCAAACATTTGAAGAGTGTCAAGATTACGTTTAAGCTGTACAGCACTTTCATTTATGTTCTTGTGATCAATTTTCTGAATTGAAAAATTTCTGTATAAATTTTCCGTTGTTATATTAACGGACTCTATTTGATTTATCCTATCGTCCAGGCCGTTGACAAATAAAATTGCATCACTAATATTAACTGATGTTAGAGATAAATTATCTGACATGTTGTAAAGACTATTATTTACTTTGTTCCAGGTATCTGTAAGGTCTGGTAATTCTTTATTAAGGAGATCTATCTTTGCTTGAACTTCAAACATGTCTTCAAGCTTATCCAGCAAATAATTTGAATTGTTTAGATGTTCGGACAATCTAATGGCATCTTCACGATAGAATTCTTCGTCACCCACCATATTCTCAGTTTCTAGAGTAATATTCATCAATGTTTCATCCACGTCGCCCAGAATATTTTTTAGTTGATCTTTGCTTGTGTAATTGTCGTTCAGATCATAAACCACATCAATGAATCGTGCACTTACAGCGTTGTAATTTTCCATGATTCGTTTTGAAAAAAGCTTGTTAGCTAATGGTATACGCAAGCCTACAGTTTCATCAATTATCATACGTATCTCATCTATAAGATTTTTTATATCGGTACTTGTAACATCACGATATTTTCGCATAAGATTAAAGAGTCGATCACCATCATTGTAAAATCGTTGTTTAACATCCTCGAGTAGTTTATGAGTCTCATTCAGTTTAACAGATAAATTTTGCAATCCTTCTTCATTAATAGCAGATGCATTTAAATACTTATGATATCTGTCTAACACGGACTTTGTTTCGTTGAGGTTATCGAAACTTTTGTTCTGTGCAGTCTCAGCAACAAGGATAACAGAGTTAATGTCGTTTAACGTACTGTTTATCAAAGAAATATTTTTCATAGAGTCATCAAATACGTCTTTTATACGATCAATGGAAATATTTGACCATTCTTTCCGTTTAAATATATCAGTATTGAAGCTAATAAAATGATCCATTGCTTGATTTAACTGTGAATTTCCATTTGTGTTGTTTTCCTGTAGTAAATTTAGTTGTCGTAGTTCATGTTCAGTTGTAATCTTGATATTGGAAAATGCATTTATTTTTTCTTGAAGATCTTGAATCGTTTTATTCATCAGATTATTTGTCGAAGCTGATCTAAGTAGACTAGCCTTCGTTTCATCTAAAGATTTATTCACCTTTTTGTACAATTGCATCAACAGCGGGATATTGGACTCAAAAAAATCATTCTTTTCTTGTTCTAAATATTTGTTCACTAAATTATTTATGTCATCTTCAATACTCTCTATTGTTTTATTATATGGAGCAACTTTAGGTCTTATATCATTTTCAATATTTTTTTTTATGGCCTGCATATTGTCAGTTATTATACTGATTTGTCTTGTTGCATCATGAGACACAACCTTTAACTGATCAATTGTTGTAATTGATTCATTGAGATTTTGTTTTAATATGCTGTTATTCTTAGACACTTGTTCTAACTTGTCTTTCTGTTCATGAAGCTGTTGTTGTGTCTTTGTTAGTGTATCCACAAAATCAATCATATTATGACCAATGTTATCCCTTTCGTTATTTAATAACGTACTATTTAATTCCTCAAATCGCAAAGACAGTGATTCAAGCCGTAATTTCAAAAAATCAGCTTTAATTTCAAAATGATTAAGATCATCTTCAACGGGTATTTTCGTTTCTCTTAGTTTTTTGAGGGATTGATCTGTTTCCTCAGCATCACCCAGAATAACGTGGAAATTTGTAAGTGCGGCATTGTGAATATCAATTGTTGTTTGTACCTGATCCATTTCACTATCAATATCACTTAGAGAAGTATTTAGTTCTGTTACATTTGCGGATATTTGCTGTAAGAGTTGCTCATATCCTGCAAATCGTCTCTTGATATCTTCTAACGTTTCATTTGACCCCACGCTGTTTGAGATTACGTTCTCCATTTCTTTGTAAATGCTCTCAAGTCGATTTTTGTCAAAGATGACATTTTTCAGTGATACATTTCCTCGATCGATTACGGTTGATATATTATCAAACGATATTTCAATTGAACGACTGTCATTTAATTGTTGTATGGTTTCAACACTATTTTTATGCACACTTATCAGGTTCTCAGTCACAACAATAATTCGTTCGTGTAAATTATCAAGTGTTTTATTCACATGATCATAATGCTTAAGTAGGCTGGGAAAGTTTTCCTTGATGTATTCATGTATTTCCTGCTTTCTAAACTTTTCTTGCAAATTGCTGATACTTTTATTTATTTTTGGAAGCATATCAAGATTTGTAGCCATTACATTTGCTATTTCATTTGTTCTATTTTTTATGAAGATGAGGCCTTCAGAGATGTCACCTCTTATCGGGTAAGCTTTAGTTGTTTTCTCTTTTAATTCATAGAGGGTGGCTGAAATCGTGTTTAATTTACCGTAAATTTGGTCAGATTTGTTCATATTTTCTACGAAAGCATCATTTGTACTATTGATAGATTTATTTAAAAGTGTGTATCCATCGCCAAGGTTTATAAGGTCGCTTAATATCATATTAACATCATTGTACAATGATTTCTCTTTCACATTTTTGAATGACTGAACGATATCAGCAAGCCTATTATCGAGATACGTTTTTCCTTCAGCCAGACGTGAATTATTCCTGATTGCAATCTGTATTTGCTTCCCTTCGTTTACAAGTTCTCCATTTGTTGACTCATATGCCTGTTTTAGACTTTGTAGTTTTATAGTTTCATCGTACAGTTCTTTAAGATAATTCTCTTCCCCGTTTACTTCCTCTCCCAAATCACGCTTCTTCTGTATTATCTGGTCAATAGTTTTACTCACTTTTGAAATATTTTTTTTCGAATCAACAAAGAAATTCATAATATCTTCAAGAGTATCATTTGAACTATAAAATGATTTGATTTTATTTAAATCTATATTTTTAATAATACTACTTTCGCTTTTTAAGATATTTTCAGACTTATTCAAACTGTCTTTTGCTGCCTTCATCAGGTGGATGCTTCGTATCAAAGGAATCTCCAATGAGGATGTGTTTTTTGTAATATTATTTGTCATTTCGTATTGTATTTGTAACGATTTTGTCTTATTTTTTATTTCGTCGACATCAAGTTCAGCCTGCTTCATATCGTTCTTGGTCTTTTGTAGCAAATTGAGCAATATCGGCGCGTTCTCCTCAATATAATCAAGCTTTTGTTGTCGTATAAACATCTCTCTGAGATTTTTGACATTTCTTTGAAGAGCCGTGATTTCATTGTCTATTATGCTACCGTTTTCTATCAAAGTTTTATTCATCTGTGAAAGTGAAGACGTTGATTTATTAACGGAGCTTGCTACACCTTCATATTTTAAAAGAACTTTTCTTAATAGATCAGAATTTTGATGATCACCCATCAGTTCCACAGCGTAGCTGATTGTAACATTTTCGGAAATTGAAACATTGTTCAAAACTGCTTTATTAGAGCCATCCATAATATTCAATTTGGTTAATAAATCTTTTATGTTTTTATCTATTTTTGATTTCAAATTTTCAATTGCCTCGCTAGTTGTACCATTAAAGGCTGTGCACATAGACTTGTATATGTCACGTACAGATGTAAAAGAAGCGTTCCTTTCCAAATTCAGGTTTTGAATTGCAACAAATGTTTTGTTCCAGTTTTTGTTTGATTGTATCATTTCAAAAGTATTTTTTCTGGCGTTTTCGTATGATGATATTAATTTCTGATATACAACAATTGTTTCAGCGTTTTGTTCTAATATTGAGTTTTGTTGTCCAATATTGTCTTTCATACTCAAAAGCTCAGACGTTATGTTGTCAATACGGTTGTTAATAGTTTCATATCTCTTCCTCATATCGTCTATTGACTCTGCATCACTAACGACTGATTCGTCGTTGGCATACAGCAATGTCTTTAATTCCAAATAATCGTTTGAAATATTACGAAGAACAACTGAATTGTTCACAACAAAAGCATGTGCAATTGCTGAAGAGTTGCCTATCTGTGAAATGTCCAAATGTATGTTTTTATGTTTGCTTAGATTAAACCTTAATTCATTAAAATGTTTATCTAAAAGTTTATAATGCGATTCCAAGCCACTGTTTGCTCTTTTTACAGATTCAATTGTGTCATTCAAATTGTCATATTTATTCTTAGGAAAGTATTTTTCAAAAAAATCTAGTTTTTCCTGTCGGCGAAATTCTCTCTCTATCTGGACACGTTTGTTATCTAACTGATGTATTGACGGTTTAACATAAGATGAGTTATGTCCTATGTCATCAATATTTTTCTCCACATTAGTAAGTAACTGTGATATGTTCTTTAAGATTTGATTTTGTTCAAACACAGATTCTGTTATGTCTTTTGTCGAGTTCGACGTTTTATTGCTAAAAACTTTGACTAAATCAAACAAAGTTCGAATTATACTGAGATCATTTGATGTATGGTTCGTTAAATTCTTTAGACTATCTACACTATTGATAATGTTTGACTGTTCCTCATTAAACTGATTAACAAGCTTATTGAAAACACTTTGGTTAATATTTGCAAATCTGTTTTCTATTGATCTGAATGATTCTGTAATATCTGAAACATTTTTAGAAAGTTCATTTACTTTTACTCTTTTATCTTCAAAATCTTTCTCCATGGTGGTGAATACACTATAAAGTTTGACATACAGTTTATCGGAATTATTTACACTGTCTACAGTATCATTCAGAGATGACAATTGTGTAGCTAATTCCGCTGAACCATTATTTATTGTTGCAATTGCAGAATTTATATCACTCAAATCTCCAAATATTTTGTTGAGCATCTCATCTACACGTTTGTATCGCTTTTTCATATCATCTATTGTTTCGTTATTTGAATATCTGCGACCATCATCGTCCCAAAGTGTATTATTAAGCTGATTCAATAGATCAGTACTTGCATTCAATTCATCTAATAAAGATGATATAGACTCGTTGAAAATATGCAATCTTTTGCCTAAATCGCCCAGTGATATATTAAAGTGAGGATACTGTGTCAGACGTTCACTTAGATCATCATATGCTGTTATGATACCTTCTAAGTCAGACTTTGTTTCATCTAATCTCAAAAGGCTGTCCATTATAGAATCATTCGCTTTTTTTACAGAAAATTCTAACTCTGGAAATTTTGTATCAGCTAAAAGCTTCTTTTGGCGATCAATAAATAGTTGCTTGTTAGTAACGTGAATAGTTTCATTAACACCTTTAATTGACACCTCTAGTCTGCGTATATTTAAATTGATAGAATCCAAATCACTACTTATCTTTCCACTTTTTTCTAGAATGCTTTGCACAGTCGGTACTAAGATTTGTTGTATTGTATGATCAATATTAAACCTATCATATATGTCCTTAGTGTAAATCCTTTTAACTGTGTCATACGTATCTTGTAAACTTATAACGCTTTCATTTGCATTTTGCAAGTCAAATGTCAAGTTGGATAAAAGTTTATCTATGTCGTCAATGGCTTCAATTACATATGACTCTGTTAAATCTATTTCTGTTGCTGTGAAGTTTGTGTAATTATTTTTTATTCGAGCAAACTCATCCTGTAACCAAGAATGATGAGATATGGCTTCATCAACATTTTTCCATGTACTATCTAACTTTGTTTTGACCTCGAGAACAGACACACTTGCATTTTTGATAGGTTGTTTTAAATTTAAAAGTTCTGTTAGCTGTCGCAATAGATCCTCAAATGTTTTAGATATATTTTCCGTCTTACTAAATATATCCATCTGAACTGAAGGTATATCTTTTACAACTGTTTCGAAATGTTCAACAGCATGGTAATGTTGTTCGTATTCCTTTTTAATATCTTGGAGTGTATGACTTGACTCATCAAACCTTGAGAAACGTTCATAGAAAGTTTCAAGATACATGTCACTTGTACTTAAATCATTTTTAAAATCAATGATCTTGTCCATGAATGTTTTTAGCTGTCTTTCTTCTTCGAGAATTGATATATTTACATTTTGTTTTTCATCTATGCGTTTTTTAAGAACCTCTGAAATATTTTGTAAAGTTTTGAAGTCTTTAAACAATTTTTCTTGCCATGTAGTTATTGAGTCTAACTTCGTAAAAGCTCTTTGGTAGGCTTCTTCCAATAAAGGTCTTTCACTTGTTACAAAATTATTTTTTGTCTTTTGATTTTGAAGCTTCAATTCAAAGATCTCAATATCAGTACTTGTTGTGTTCACCTTATCATAAATATTACTGACGTAAGTTGAAATATTATGGAGCTCTACGCGTAAATCATTTGTCTGTGATTTGGTATTTTTCATTACCTCTAAAGTATTGTTCAAAATAATCTGACTTTCACTTGACAAGTCGTAAATGTTTTTATGATATGTCTTATTTGCTATTTTGAACCCATGTACTTCTTCTTGGAAAACATTGCTCGAATTTTCAAGCAGTTCAATGGCAGTATTCACATCATCTAAAGAAGATCTGATATCCTTTTCTAGATTATCAAACGACTTCGTAGAGTTAACTGTACCGTTGATATTGCCTAAATTCCTTTTCATTCTTTCAACGTATTTTAATTTTTGTAATAAATCTTCTTTACCTTTAGTTATGTTGGTGTGTAAATCATTTATCATCTTATCAGTTATTGTAATTTCGTTAGAAACTATTGTTTCTGTACTGTCTATGGCGTCGATTTTATCTTTAAGTTTATACATATCTTTTATTTTTAAATGCATATCTTGCTTGAAATCTGTTATATCTGTAACACTTTTGTCTGTCTCGTTCAAAACTTTCTGGAATTTATTTACAGTATTATTGACCCTTTCTGTTTCATTAACAACCGAATCGAATGTGTTATGAACAAGTGAAGGATTTCCGTCATCACTCCATAAAACTTTATCCGTGTTCGTAAACGCTTGTTTCACATGATCAAATGATTCTTTAGTATTTTCGTATTTCAAGATTTCGCTAGCAATTTCTGATGATATGGTGTCAAGATTCAAATCAACATTTGAATATTTCTCAAAACTGCTCCGACATTCTTCAAAATCTACTTTCAATGTCTTCATTGACTCTCCAAGCGAACTAAAATTCTTCTTTGTAGCGACGGAATGATGTTGTAAATAATCATACAGTTCTTTTATTATATCATGTGTGTCATTTATGTACCTGACATTTTTTTCTGTCTTATAGTACAGTTCCATTGAATCCTTTACCGATTCATTCATTAACACAATATCATTTTCAGTGTTATTGGATCGGTCTGTAATTTCTTGTATTGTTGATTGTAACAAATCCAACCTCTCTAAAATAACATTTAACTTGTTATTTAAGCCCGCTTTCTTGTTTACTAATAAGTCACGTTTTCGTATATTGTCGTGCAGTTCGTCATCTAATTGTAATATGTCATCTTGTAGGACTATCATAGCTTTTTGTGTTTCTTGAATTGATGTCTGTATTGTAGGAAATGCATCTCCGAATCCGTATATACTTGCATTCATTTTAGAATATGAATCTTGTATTCTTGACAAGTCTGTTCTTAATTTGTGGAATGAATTTTGAATAGCTAATAATGAGTTGTTCACAAATTGTAAGGATGTGTCTGTGCTTAGGAGCGTACCGTTTGTCTCATTTAGTTTATTTCGTAGCTCTGAAACAGTCTTGTCCACTTCAGCAAGAGTATTATTTAGCATTAGATAAGACTTAGTCGCAATGTCTGCTTTGTTCATAGTAATTCTCATTGATTCATTTGCATTATACAATTGTGTATTCAACTCCCTTACAGTTCCTTTGAATTCTGATACTGATGATTTTAGTTGTTTTGCCGATCCAGTTGTACGTTTAACAGTACTTGTTAAACCATCAAATGTTTTGTTCACATTTGTCACGGTTGAATTGATTTCCATTGCCGTGTTATTGATTATTATCAATGTTTTGTTAACGGTATCCAGTGTACTATTTATGTTTTCAAAAGAGATCTTACTATTTTCAAATATGTCTTTTATAGCCTTTATTGTAAAATTCATTGTTTTTAATGAAACGTCGGTGTCTTTCACTGTAGCGTTAATTGATTTAAGAGTTTTGTCCAGCAGTTTAAATTTAACGTCTATATCATCTAGTGTTCTGTCTATTTGTAATAATTGTTCTTCTAGGTTTTCTAATTTCAAGTCAACCTTGTCAAGCCGAATATTTATATGATCAACGTCATAACCAATTTCAGATAAAGTGCCATTCATATTAAGGAGCATACCGACAGTTTCAATCATGTCTTTGTTATTGAGATTAATTTGCAATTGATCATCATTACTTTCCATCCATAAATTGAATTTTGTTAGTGTCTGCACCATTTCGTCTAGCCAATCCATCGATGCAAGAAGTGATACATTCATCATAGTAATGTTGCTTTGTGCTACATCCATGTTTTTATATAACTCAGATAACCGGTCATCTATTGTTGATAATTTTTCAATGACTTCAAGGACGGTTCCATTGATAAACATATACGGTTCATTCATATTCTCTAATGTTTTATTTATCTTGTCATACGTTTGTTTAAGCTTTTGTGCCTGACCAGCCACCCTTGTCATACTTGAATTGAACTTCAATAATTTTCCATGAAGTCTGTTAAGTTTCTTATGAGTGTTTTTAACCGTATCATTTATATTTTTCAAGGAAATATCAAACTGGTCAGAACCGTTATTGATAATATTTACTTTAAAGGAAAGGTTTTTAATGGCATTTTCCAGACTTATTAAAGTTTGTTGCATACTATCCAAAGTGTCATTTGAATACGCCGCTGTATAATTTACATCTAACACACTTCTATTTACGTACGTTAAAGTGTTGTTCATGTCGATGACATTATCAGATATACCGTTCATCGTGCCATTTATATCGGACATTGAAAATTCTATGAAACTTACAGCTTTTCCCAAATTTCCAATTGTGTCATCAATATTCTTTATAACATCATCAATATTAAATATCTTATTTCCAAATTGTTTTAGGAAATCCTTGAATGCCGTCATTGTGGCGTTTATACTGTTTAAATTCTGATTTAAGTTTCCCAAGGAGACTGTCATATTTCCAAGTGTCTCTTCTAAGTTAAACAAGGGTCTGTGGGTCTCGTGAAATGTTTTGTTTATGAAATTTATAGCATCCTGCATGTGATCTATTTTTGTTGTCATGTTGTACATGTTGTCAACAAGCTGTCTTAATATCTTTTTCATATCCTCAATATCGCTAAAGTTAGGGGATTTCGGTAAGCCTGAAAATATGAAAATATTCATAAAACTTAAGAAACTCGCAATTACATAATAAAGTATGGATAACGTAAATAAGATAAGTGGTAATTTAGCTTCTAATACTAAACTTTAATTTAAATAACTTTAAATTAACTTTAAATATTATTTAAAAGTTAAAAATGTGATATATATATAATGGTTATACTTTAGTATATTGATTTAAGCAATGATTAATTTACAAGAAAGACGAAAGTACCATATGCAATGTCATTATGATTTCTTTCTTCTTAATGATAAATGTTTAATTTATCGAATAGATATTTGAAAACAAGAAGATTTTATTAAAGTCATAATCGCACACAAGTTTATACCTCACCATATATACAAATTAAATGATTAACACTCATTTATAGGACTTGAACTTTTTTCTAGGAGTAACAAAAGCCGACGATTTGAAGGCGTTCAGTCTCGCTGAAAAAGCAGCAAACATTATAAAACAAAGCAATACATTCACAATAACATAAATTTGGTATGTTAAATCAACATTCACAATGACTATATATCACAATTAAAGCATGTCATTAGAGTAACACTCATAAAACAAAATGCATATTAAATGAAATTGGCTGCCACATTTTGCCCAACATAAATGTATCACGAAACATACAAGCGCGTATTAACAATGATAAATATTGTATAACATTATTGAATTATAATGAACGTCAGAAAACTCTCGAAGCGCAATAAGTGTAGAACATTTTTACAAGGCAATGTCTAAAATCATACCCTTTTTTCCTAATATCATTTCTTGATAAGGTTTTAAAAAGTTCCCATTTATGTTTATGGAGCCTCCTTTTTGTGGCCGAAAATTTCCGTCTCTTATATAAGGACCTTTCCGGGAGATTGACTGCATGTCTCTTCTTTCCGTTATTCCCAAATTTTGATTAAAAGCTTGTCTTTGAACACTTGTAGGTACTTTTGTATTTGTGTTATCTGTACCAAATATATGTCTTCGTGCTATCCCTGGATCATAGAAGGCCAGATTAACCCCTACTCTTTTTAAAAAGTTCCATGGTTGTCTGTTTTCAGTCACCTTACTATTTTGTCTGATTTGAATGTTCTTATTTTGAGTAGATCTATTCGGATGTGATATTACCAACGCATTCCTTCCATTTAAAAGACCTTTTCGCAGGTTAAATCTAAATTGAGGCATTCTAAAAGAGGACCTCGTAAAGTTTATTGTTTTGGTATTCAAATCGATAGGTTGATGAAAGCGTTTTTGCTTATTGCTTAATGAGATGTTTCCTCTTAAATTTTGGTTATAAATGTCGATATTGCTATTTACACCTGCGTCTTCATTCACTAGCAAAGTTACGCCAGGAATTTGGCTATTTGTTGATAATGCGGTGTTTACTTTAATGTTTTTCACATGATTCTGCAATCTTCTCCAGGAGAGATCAAAGTCTCGTTCAGGTTGATGCATTCTTAAATTATTTGCGATTTGTGGGTATTGTTTGTCTTCATTTTGCTTGACTGTGTTCTTTTGGCGAGTTATAACATTTGGTAACGGTCGGTTTCTGACTGCCATTTCAGCGTTTGCATTCATTGTCTTTTTAATATTATCAAAATGGGTAGTATTATCATAAGTGGGAATCTGAAAGAATTTGTTCATAAAGTGTTTATTTGAATTACTACTCATACTATTTGATCCAGATTCCCTTTGTATACCAAGAGACAGATCAACAACTTCAGCTCCTGGTGAAACAGCAAGTTCATCAATATGGTGCATGGGTTCCACCCAATTAGAACTATTTGTGTTTAGAATGTCACCGACGTGAACTTCGACAGTTTTTTGCGGTTGGTTAAATAGGTTTATCCATTCTACATTTTCAGTTACAGGTACAATTTCCTCCTGCACAGGTAAATCTACGACAAGTTCATTCAGTTCTATATTATTATCGGCAGGGACAGGATCGTTTACTATTTCTTGTTTTTGACCTTTATCACTACCAATTATTTCTACAGTAAACATGCTATGGTTGACCTCATTTTTTGTCCCGGCTGTTAGATGTGTTTGCGAATGCGTTTCAGTCGCAATGAGAATAGGTAAGATGTCTTGAGAAGAAGGTGACAGTCTTTGTAAAGAAGATGGGATTGGCTTCTTCTTTATTTGAACCTTTTCCTCAACGAATTCATTTAACTCGCTTTGCAGATTGATATTATTAATCGGCGGGATATAAGATGTAGGTTCAATTGCAACGCCACTATTACTTCCCATTATAACGAAAACATCAGTTAAAAGAGTAAATATCTTTTGATTACTTTCTGATGCATCTATGGTCTTATATGTTGTTCCTGTAAGGAACAGTTCAGCTGTTTTACTAAACTGATTTTCAATGTTGTGATTTATGTCTTTGAAAGATGTTTCAATTTGATTTGCTAAATCCTTATGTTTATGTATTCCCAGACCGTTTGTACTGGGGTCATTTTGTGTAATTTTCTGTGCAATAACACCATTTTTAACATGTATTTCTTGAATAGAAGGAAACTTTAACATAGGCTGGACATCATTAGTTGTAACAAAGACAGACACAGAAGAACTTGCTGCTGGATTAATAAAAGCACCTGCACCGTGAAACACAGTTTCCCGTTTCAAAGCATCAACAACATTAGACACCGATACATTATTAAACATATGAGACAAAACAGGCATTGTTTGTAAATGCAAAGCGTGTGTATGCAGGCGCGGTGTGACACTTTGGTAAAACTGTGTTGGTGTAATAATTGGAAGATCGTGAATTTCACCTCTGGGTAAAACCAGTCTTGGTATGTCAAATGACATGTCAACACCACTGCGCTCAAACTGTTCTGTTAAATTTTGTGTTAGTTCTTTAGTATTGGTTAATACTGATGTATTAGTCCCACTATTGTTTACATCTTTTGACTTACGGGCTATGAAGTCTACATCTTCATCTGCAACAAAATAGAAATCTTTACTTTATCTCACTGTGTAATAATATGACGACTAATATCTCGACTATATGCTTAAATATTGTTAGTTTAGAAGCTTAATATTGAAGTCATTGTAACTCGTTTGAACTGCGACTTAGTCGCTTTCCTGGGGAGAAACGGTTCTGGTGTCATGTGAGAAAACGTGCTTGTGACACCCCACTAAGGTTCGAATACGCACTCCACGGGTTGAGCGGAAGATATCTTAAGGACTAGGAAATGGTCTTTAAATTTTATATGGGAAGGTTTCACCCTTTGTTTATTGTATATGAATACTTTTGCATGATGTCTGCATTGTATCTGCATTTTTTATCGTAAACATCACTCGTATTGTAGTGCAAGACACTGGAAAGACTTAATAATAAAAATCAAAAAGCATTTTCTGAGGTTTTTTGACACGATGGGACTGAAAATATTTTTTCCAGATAAAGGACCATTTGAAGTACGTTTAGACCACTAATCTTTTTGCAAAATTTCAGATCATTTGCGCACTTCGTTTTTCCGGAATAGTTATTCAAATTGTAAAAAAAAAGCCACAAAATGAAAAACGTTTAAACGCTTTTTACTCAAAACGGGCTAAGAAAAGCATAAAAATACGATTTTCAATTTATTTCAAAGTGTATTTCTTAACTATCTTTGCATATATTTCTGTTTAAAGTGCCCCAGCTCATGTATGTAAGAAATTCAAATGTTATGGTTTAGGCTTTTAAACCTCAGTGAAGTCTCTTTAAAATATCCGATAGTTTTCTTCCAATAGTTGGTACTGAAACAAATATGAGGTCTAAACTTAAATTATCTAAATATTGTATGATTTGACAATTCTAAAATCTGGCACTTATTGTTATAAAGGCAACGGAGCGTTTTTCAGATCTGCGTTTAACGTCAAATAAAGTTTGTACAAACAAGATAGATTATTGTTTAAACTGGTTAACGTTGTGGAAATAACAGAATCATAAAATGACATTTGCATTTTGTTCACACAAAAATAGAAAGAACATTAAGAAGACAAAAAAGGTTTAATGTGGTTCACAAAATAAACAGCAAACACTTAATTAAAGTCAGGTTTAACCTCTGAAAACAATGGAGATTGAAAAACTTTATGCAATAGATAGTTATATAGAAACATAAATTCATAAGAAGAAATATGCTTAATTATGTTATGTTGTCCACTTACTCCAAGGTATTCTGGGTCTGTGTCGTCTGCCTGGGTGGTCGCCTGGTAAAGGAAGAACTTCGACTCCTACTTTTAAACTTCTCAGATATACCAGGAAATCCCTTATTGCTAGATAAAGAGTATCTTCGGTCTGCTGTCGACCCGATTTTCGCATGATTATCTTCTTTATTCTTTCCCCGTCGTTAGTAACTTTGTTGTCTATGAAATCAAGTGTGTAATGCACTGCTGTTCCAGTTTTCATCTTCGACTTTTCTTTCCTTAAAAAAAGAAAAAAAGAATCATACCAGAAAAATGATGTATGTAAGTAGAAAGAATAATCATGATATCATCATTTTTAAAACTTATTGTTCATTATATTTTGTTTGTCTGTTGTATTTTAACAGTAACTAAGCTATATCATATAATATAGAAGTCCTGCCATCACTTGGAGGAGGTGAAAGTATGGTGGCTGATTTGGTACGCTTTTGTGCTTGTTGGCGCTAGCAACAACAAGACAAAGCGCGAAACGGTGCATTGTCGCACTGTCGTCTTGTCGCTAGCGACAACACGTCAAAGCGCGAAACGGCGCGTTGTCGCACTGTCGTCTTGTCGTCCTGTCTCTAGCGCGGCACGCCAAACGGCTCATTGTCCGTTGCGGGCGGCATTGTTGCGATGTCGCCCTTGTCGCTTGGCTTATAAGCCAATCCTTCAATTTGAACCGAGCGACAATGTGTCATCGCGAAAACACACCGCACGACATCGCGCCGTTTGGCGTGCCGCGCTAGAGAAAGGACGACAAGGCGACAGCGCAACAACGCGCCGTTTGGTGCTTTGTCGTGTTGTCGCTAGCGCCAACGAGACGCACAAAAGCGTACCAAATCAGCCACCATATGAAAGCGAGAATATCTGCAATACATAAAATTATTTCTTATCATCTACTTTAAGCTTGTATGAAGTGTAAAATTTAAAGAACACAGAATTACTGTTCACAGCGGGATTTAAAATTCGTTTATCATTTTGCTGCCTGCACCACAGGTAAACTTGTATCATTACTTGAATCATAGTTCAAGGCACAGTGCTGGTATAAAAGTCTGTGTTCATCCTAATTGTCAATTTATTAATATTTTTCCATGAAAGTGTACGTTTAGTATGCAAAAAAGTTAAAAAAAGTAAGCATCCCATGTTTAAGTAAATCCAGTAACATTCTTTTGTAATATTGACTGTAAATAGATACATCGTAATTTATATAATGCAACAATACATATCATGACAGCATAAAGGTGCTTATTTGTATATGTACTTACGTCATAGAAACAACGTTACAGCCTAAATAAAAGTCTGCCAATTCACTGGTTAGGAAGTATACATCCATCTGAAATAACATATCATATTGAACGTTTTATGCTAATATTAATTTTGATAACGGAATCGGCCAGGCTGGTTGCTTTATTCCGTGAGTAAATCAAGACATAAGGGTAACAAAATACTAATGTCCAGCATTACATTGACGTGATTACACTGACAGACATAGTTCCCACCTGGTAACAGACGTCTGTAACTATCGCTGTTATAATTAGTATAAGAGTAGATCTTTTTTCCAGATATTTAGAGTAGAAAAAGATATATACATATCTCATTATCTAGGTATTGAATAGAAAAGTAATTGAATATGTTTTGATTTGCATATTCATAAGAACTTAGTAAAGCCATTTTATACTTCATACTTGAAAACAAAGAAAATGACATAAAATTAAAGTCTTGTCTTAAGAAATACATCAAAACCCCTAATAATGAAACAATGATAAGACATTTAAATGGCAAGTAAATTAAAACTTTAATTTTACTTGTATGACCACGAATACACTTGTAAAATAGTTTGGCCATTGTGAAAGTCAATGAGAGAAAATCGTTACCTCTTCACATAACGGTCTTGCAAGTTCATGAAAGTCCAAGCTTGAACTGTTTCTCATATCATCTGTGTAGTTACGGTTAGCAATTGTAAATCGGACGTTTGCTCGCAACATTGCTGCAAGAAAAAATGAAGGATATCTATCTTTTCATGAAACTTATGATTAGCACAAAAAGTGTTTGCATTACTTATCGAAGGAGACTAAAAGATCACATGACTAAATGAAAATTATTTAAAATGTTCGATACTACTTTTAAAACGGCGTTTTAATTTTACTGAAATGATCAATCAATAAATTGAAAACAATTAAAGAAATGTTCAAATGTTCGGTTTGATACAGCATGTCATAGGTGACAGCATTATATAACGCCACGGTCCCTTATACCTTCCAAATACATAAATAACTTAATAAAACAACTACATGTAATCGATTTGTCAAATTTGAATATCTGTGAAATAGCTTAATATGACAGTCATTTTAGTGGCTTGTCTGTGATTGTCGCATGGCATCACGCTAATAAGTCTAAAAATAAACTTAACAATTAAAACATTTAAAGTTGAATGAAACTGTGATAGTTATGTTAATTCGCATAAGTAGACACAATATACAACATGTCCACCCATAGTGCCATTTCAAAACAGGACAACCATTTCAGCTTTAATAATTTTGCAATTTATCTCATGTCTTTAAAAGCGTGTATAAAAATTAACAAAACATTTAAATTGAAAGACATAAACAGTTATATCTGTCTAAACCGGACAAAAGAAAAATGTGAATTGTTTACCATATGACATGTGAACACAAAAACATATTTTCTTTGCCAAAATACTACAAAACATCTTTGAAAAGAGTAAAAATAGACGTTTAAAATGAGTGTATGTAGTAATTGTAGTTTGAGGGAGATTTATTCCACAGGTACAGGAGGACCTGATTCAAACTTAAGTGTTATCATTTTGTGAATTTCTGTTCTTTACATACCCTGATTCTAACATATGTGTTTACATTATGTGGTTTTTTATTCTTTATAAAACCTGATCCTAACTTAGCTGTTATGATTATGTTAATGTCTGCTCATACTTAACCTGATTCTAACTTAAGTGTTCCCATTATGTGAATTTCTGTTCTACACATAACCTGATTCTCACTTATGTGTGTCCATTACGTGTATTTCTGTTTCTAACATAACGTGATTCTAACTTAACTGTGCCTGGTTTGTGAATTTCTATTCTTCACATAACCTGATTCTAATATAGTGATTTCATTATGCGAATTTCTGTTTTAACTTGGTAATTTATGTGCTATAATAGTCATACTATATTCTCAGCTAAGCATCTCGTCATTAACAGATATTCCGACCTTAACTTCTACATGATTGAGAAACTGGCTGAGATAGCTAGAAACTGCTTGTTTAGTTTGGCTTCTTTGGACAAATCAAGTATTTATCTTACCATTATCCTATCAAAATTGTGCAACCATACTACAGTTTTCAGCAGTTTTGTTAAAATGTTTGTAATCTTCCTCTTTTTATTGAAAAAAAATGCAATATTTTTTTTAATTTTGCAAATGTATTATCTTTTATAACCTTGTTAACAATAAATAGTAATATATAAATTTTATTTTAATCTTTAGACTTGTAGCGAACTATTTTAAGGCAAATGTTTTCACGAAACATCTTAGAATAACCACATATTAACTCATGTGAAATATTAACCCTTATGATTACAATGTTTAAAGGTCACAAGGGGGCATAATTATGTTGCTGCATTAACAAGGTATGGCTCGTAAAATATAATTGAGCCGCGTCACGACAAAACCAACATAGTGCGTTTACGACCAGCATGGATCCAGACCAGTCTAATCAGGATCCATGCTGTTCGCTATCAGTTTCTCTACTTGTAATAGGGGTTGGTAAGCGAACAGCATGGATCCTGATCAGACTGCGCGGATGCCCAGGCTGGTCTGGATCCATGCTGTTCGCAAACCCATTAAGTAGGTTTTGTCGTGACGCGGCTCAATTTACTTTTGATAGGACATGACAAGTCAACGTAACATACATGGTAACTAAAACACGTTCCCGAATATTCCTTCACGCGTACCTGTCAGCTTCTATCAACCGAGTAGTTTGATTATTTAATTGACATGTTCCCCTCGAGTTCACTTACATGTATTAGTGTATGTGAGAAGTTAGCAGTTAACAGTGAGCTAAGCAAAAAGGCATTACGATTTATATAGGGAAATCAATGATCTGCTGTTATGCTCAGCTGGGTAGGCAATCTAGCGAGGCGTTCCAAAATATAGCGTTAAAAATGCTCTGCCTGGTATGCTCAGGCTGGCTAGGCAATCTAGCGAGGCGTTCCAAAATATAGGCGTAATAAATGCTCTGCTGGCTATGCCTCAGCTGGCTAGGCAATATAGGCAGGGCATTCCTAAAATATAGTGTTTTAAAAATACCTCTGCTGTTATACTCAGCTGGCTAAAGCAAATCCTAGCAGGGATTAACTAAACAAAGGTGTAAAAATGCTCTGCTGTATGCTCAGCTGGCTAGGCAATCTAGCGAGGCGGTTCCAAAATATAGCGTAAAAATGCTCTGCTGTATGCTCAGCTGGCTAGGCAATATAGCGGGCATTCCTAAATATAGTGTTAAAATACTTGCTGTTATAACTCAGCTGGCTAAGCAATCCTAGGCAGGGCATTCCAAAATATAGTGTAAAAAGCTCTTGCCTGTTATTACTCGCTGGCTAAGCAAATCTAGCGGGGCATTCAAAATATAATTGTAAAAATGCTCTGCTGTTATGCTCAGCTGGCTAAGCAATCTAGGCGGGGCATTCCAAAATATAGTGGTAAAAAGCTCTGCTGTTATGCTCAGCTTGGCTATGGCAATCTTAGGCGGGGCATTCCAAAATATATTGTAAAAAAAGATCTGCTGTTATGCTTTGCAGCCTGGCTAAAGCAATCTAGGCGGGGCATTCCAAAATATAGTGTAAAAATGCTTTGGCTTTATGGCTTTAAGCTGGCTAAGCAATTTAGCGGGACATTTCCAAAATAAATTAGTGGTAAAAATGCTCTGCTGAATTGCTCAGCTGGCTAGGCAATCTGAGAAGGGCATTCCTAAATATAGTTGTTAAAAATGCTCAGGCTGGCTAAGGCAATCCAGCAGAGCATTACCTAAATATAGTGTAAAATGCTCTGTTGGCAAGCTCAGCTGGCTAAGCAATCTAGCAGAGCGTTTCCAAAATATAGTGCGAAAAATGCTCTGCTGGTATGCCCTCAGCTAGCTACCGCAATCTAGCAGGGCATTCCTAAATATAGTGTTTAAAAATGCTCAGCTGGCTAGGCACATCCAGCAAAGCATTCTGAAAATTAGTGTAAAAATGTTCTGCCGGAATGCTGAGCTGTCCTAGGCAAACTAGCAGGGATCTTAAATAAAGTATAAAATTTCGTTTGGTCTAGGCAATCTGATTATTTGGCACTCGTAGACTTTCTGAAATATTTAATGCGCAATGCAGATAATGACATTTTTTTGACTTCTACGGACGCCTCAAGTGGTCTATTTCTTTTGGTCTCCGACTGATTCTGGACGATCGCAGACTTTCAGGAATTTTTGGTGTTAATCGCAGATAATTACATTTTGCTGAATTTTTTAGGAGCCATCCAGAAGTCCATTTTCGTTGGTCTGCGAATTCGTTTCTGGAACACTAGCAGATTTTCAGAAATTTTCGGCTGCCAATGGAAGATAATGACATTTTACTACCAAAAAGGACCCTCCTGAGTCTATTTCGTTGGTCTGCGACTGATTCTGAGTCCACTCGCAGCAGACTTTCAGGAATTTTGGTGTCAATGCAGAAACATGGAATATTTCCTTGACTTATGGGACCTTTCTGAATCCATTTTTTTTGGTCTGGCGACTGATTCTGAAGGCACTCGCAGACTTTCAAGAATTTTTTGATGTCAAGGCAGATACATGACAATTTTTACTTTAGGGACCGCATCCAGGGTCCATTTTTTTTGGTCTGCGACTTAATCTTGGACAGTCACAGACTTTCAGGAATTGTTGGTTGCGCAATAGAGATAATCACAATTTATGACCTTTTTGACCATCCATGAGTCTATTTCGTTGGTCTGCGACTGATTATTGGGCATTTGCAGACTTTCAGGAAATTTTGGTGCTAATGCAGATAATGACATTTCAGGGTAAAAATGCTCTGCTTATGACTAAGGGGTCCTTAAAAGTAAAAAAGGCACGATCTGCAATGGCACTAAACATCCTAAAAGTCTGCGAGTCTCAAGGAATCAGTCGCAGACCCAAGAAATGTACTCTGGCGGTTCCCTTAAAGTCAGAAATGTCATTATCTCCATTGGCATCAAAATTCCTGAAAGTCTGCAAGTGTCCCAAAATCAATCGCAGACCAGCGAAATGAACTCTGGTGGGTCGCTAGAAGTCAAAAATGTCATTATCTCCATTGGCACCAGAGATTCCTGAAAGTCTGAAGAATGTCCCCAAGAATCAGTTGCAGACCATAAAAATGGAACTGGCGGGTCCCTAGAAGTAAACATTGTCATTATCTCTATTGCACAAACTTTCCTGAAAGTCTGCGAGTGTCCAACAATACGCTGCAAGCTAATGAAATGGACTCTTAAAGGTCCATAGAAGCAAAAATATGATTATTTCCATTGGCACGGCAACCATTCCTGAAAGTCTGCGAGTGTCCAAGATCATCGGCAGACGACTAAAATGGACTCTTGAGGGTCCCTAGAAGTCTTAATTGTCAATATCAGCATTGCACCAAAATTCCTTGAAAGTCTGCGAGTGTCGCTTCAAAAAGTCGCAGGACAATGAAATAGTCTCTTAAAGGTCCTTAGAAGTCAAAAAGTATCATAATTTCTATTGGCACCGAAAATTCCTGAAAGTCTGCGAGTGCCTCAGAATTGCTAGAAGTCGAAAATGTCAATAAACCCTTTGGCAACATAAATTCCTGGAACTCAGAATCAGTCTTCCAACTGAGCATTCCACCAAGAGCATTTTTAACTATATTCGGAATGCCCTGCTAGATTTGCCTAGCCAGCTTAGCATTCCACCAGAGCATTTTATAACACCATATTTAGTAATGCCCTGACT